GGGTACAGAGAGCAGCTGTCTCCTGTACCCGGCCGGACTAACAGGAAGTACACACTGAGTGTGCACTTCCTGTTAGTCCGGCCGGGTACAGGAGACAGCTGCTCTCTGTACCCGTCGGACTATACTGTGCTGCCGGGCTCGGCCACGCTACAGCAAAGGGAGTGACAGGAGGGAGCGCTCAGCGCTTCCCTCCTGTCAGCCCCTTTCTCAGGCTGCGCCCGGGCGGTGCGGTCCGCCCTCATGGACGCACCGCCCGGGCAAAGCTGCAGCCGCCTGAGGCTCAATACAGAGCGCTCGGGCGGCTGCAGCATGGGGGGGGCGGCGGGGCTGGTCTGGCACCCCCCACCCGGCTGGCACCCGGGGCGGACCGCCCCCCCCGCCCCCCCCTTAGTACGCCACTGCTAATATCAATTGATATTTGATAGAGTCCATGATGTCCTGTATGCAAACAAAATGTCCAGGTCCTCTGGCAGAAAAAACAGCCACCACAATATTTAACCACGGGCATGAGGTACTTTTCCATATGGCTACCTCTCTGTGTGCTCCAAATCCACCTCTGGTGTTTATTTCCAAAAAGCTCTATTTTGGTTTCATCTTACCATAGAACCTGGAATAGTAGTGTATGGCAAATTGAAGATGCTTGAGATTGTTTGTGGGTGAGAGTAGAGGCTTTTTTTCTTTAAACTCTTCCAAACAACTTGTGGTGTTGTAGGTGATATTAGATTGCAGGTTTGGAGACTTTCTGACCACAAGATGCAACTGGCTTCTGCAATTCTCTAACTGTGATCCTTGGAGAATTTTGGCCTATTACCAGCGCTAATAGTGCCAGTAAATAGATATTACTTATAAAGTGCAGTATTAACAAAGTGCCAGTGTAAAGTGCCAAAATATGTCTTCAAATGTGACCTATTATGGGAGCACAAAATCCCCAGTGTGAAGTACTAATTCGTATTAAATCGTGAAAACAAATCCAAAGGAGCAAAAATTGAATCATGCAAGAACACACCTGTGTTTGAGGTACTAAAAATAGTATTCATATTACTGACATCTCTTGTGGTGCTAAAAGTACAGATCCTCCATAAAAGTGTTAACGGTCCCCAATTCCCAAATGTAGATTTTTTTGGGAGATTATTCCTCAAACAAATTTAACATATATACTCATAGGGCAGTATGTAAAGTTGGAACCCTAGGAGGAATTTGGCAAATTTTTGTGTACCTCCAACACTTTTTTTAGGTGGTGTTTATAACTTTGCAAAAGTGATGATATGGATGCCAATATCCCAGATATCAGTGATGGGAGTAGCAATCCTTCTCAGCACAGAAGGGATCAACCCTTTCAGTATTGATGGTATAACATCCAATGACATCCAGGATAAGTGGTAAAAGCAAGATTATAGATAAAAGGTGATTTTTGTATCAATAATACTCTTGTCTATCAACAAATGTAAGAAAAAATGTGCAATTATATTGTAATACTATTTTAGGCCTCAATCTTTTTAAAGCCCAATTTTAGTAAAATGTACAGTGATGTGCAGAGTGTCCCAGAGCTCCACAGCAATAAAACTGACAATAATCACTAAGCAAACCAAGCCAATGAACTATAACCGAACACTGCCATATAGGGGCTAGTTAAGAAATTTGCACAGGGTTTTAAGGTGGTATATATTGGGTGATTTATTGGTTGCATGAGGGTCTTTCATTGTTACTTGCACTGTAGTTCCTATGTCTGCCCCGATTGAAAATTATACAAATGTTCTGTTAAAGCCGCTAATTTTGATTTAATACAATTTAATAGTTTAGAGGAGACTAGTGATGTCCCGAACTGTTCGCCGAACGGTTCGCCATGAACGGTTTGCCGCGGACTCCAGTCAGCAGACACATTCCAGCCAATCAGCAGCAGACACTCCCTCCCAGACCCTCCCACCTCCTGGACAGCTCACTAAGAATGCAGCTTCAAAATGGATGCTGTCCAGGAGGTGGGAAGGTCTGGGAGGGAGGGTCTGCTGCTGATTGGCTGGAATGTGTCTGCTGACTGGAGTCCGCAGTGAACAGTTCGGGACATCACTAGAGGAGACACTAGTAGATAGGCTAATGCTGAGAGGATTAGTGATATATGACAAACATGCAGGTATGAAGTAACTAAATTCTTTCTGGACCTCATGAAGCAATATAAATAAAGAAGACATGTCATTAATAGACTATCTGGTTTTATTTAACCTAGCATTTGTCTTAAATGTCCCACTGTAAAACATGAACATGCAAATAATCTCTAGAATAAAGTAAATGGAATTAATTAAGGGATTTCCAAACTTGTTCCCCTTAGTGTATATAACGGGTGGTCCTTTATTGATATTCAGAAGAAGAGATTCTGGCCCATTAGAAATTATTCTAATTCCCAGTTTATAATTCAACTGTTTAATAAACTTTGGGAAAAGAGTACAAACGGCAGCCTAGAATAGTTAGAAAATCCTTTGTTATGATTTGCATGGATTATTTTTTTTAGTGTATTTTAACAGATGGGTTAATCTAAATACATTTTCAGGATTATTTACTAAAGTGAGATTTCAAGATTAATTCAAAGTTAATTTCAAATTTATGGCCAGAGTAGCAAAACTGAAAGCACTGCTGACTTAGAGCATTTTTGCAATTTGACTATTTTAAACTTAAATTTGAAATTTACTTTGAATTCACCTTGAATTTTTACTTTAGTAATTAGCCCCAGCGGTAACACATCTAATTTGATGTGTTTCTTTAAGAACTGTGTGGAATAATAGCTAGAATTGCTGAAATACTGCATATTTATTACGTGCATGGCATTTTCCTATATTTTATAATGATTAACTTAATTTAAAGGCTCATGTAGCATGAGTATGATAATCATTTGGAATAAGATATTGTAAAAAAAAAAAACTATTAGAACCATTTGCCCTTTACGTGAATTCACCTGTATTACAAAGTTAGCTGATGTATTTTATAAAGGAAGAAATTATATACAGTTTACCCCACTGGGTAAAATTAAATGTATATGCATTGCTATTGTATATATATTCCATAACTGTCCCCCTTATAGGAAATGCCATATGTGATCACTTTAGTTTAAAAATATAACTCAAATCTCTAACTTTTGTTTTATTTTTATTTATTTTTTTAAATTCTTTATTTTTGTTATGACAGTTGGTAGCATCATAAACAAAGAGAACAACAGGGCTTGCGCAGAAGCCGTCTTGAAAGGCATGATGTGTCCTTTGGATGCCAGGCTTGTGCATAAGCCAACTTATAAAGTAAATCTGTGATTGAAAAACAGGGCTTGCGCAGAAGCCTTCTTGGATGTCATAATTTATAAACGCCAAGCAGGGCCTGTGCAAAGGCCGACTTAGGAGGCGTAATAATGCATTTTAAACAGTGCTTCTGCAAAAGCTGTCTTAAGAGGCTTGGTCTGAGTGTATTTTGCATCATGTATGTGTATTAGATGCATAGTTGATCGGATCGTTGCATGCTGTGTGTTTGTGGGAAGTGTGGAGTCTCGATGGTTGTCTGTCAAGGTTTCCAACTTCTAGGTGGTGTTGGGGCTGGGAATGGGGGTTGTTAGAGGGTCAGTGTGTGTCTCGGGGGGGGGCAGGTGGGTGATGCTGTTTTTCCAGTGGGTGGTCTGGTCGGGGTTCCAGTCCTTTGAACCCAGTGTAGATAGGGGGGGGAGGTAGAAGTGGAAGAGGTGGTAGAGGAGAGGGAGGAGGGGTGGAGAGAGAGGAGAGAGTGTAGAAAGAAGGGGAGAGAAAAAAACAAAAAAAACACAAACACAAAACCCCCATGCTCACCATCTCTCCCTCCCGCACCCCCCTGTAGATGGGGGGGTTAGTGGAAGGGTGCGGGTGGGTGGGGCATGGAAGGAGTGCTATGGGAAGGTCCTTTGGGGCGGGAGCTGGTTGGTTTCTGTAGACTCTATGGTGCTAGTGCTGTTCTGTTTAGCCATGGGTCCCATATCTTGTGGAAGGATTTGGAGGTGTCATGGATCAGAGCGGATAGTTTGTCCATTTCGATTGTTTCGTCTATTTTCCATAGTACTTCCGTTGGGGTGGGGGTAGTGTAACTGAGCTCCCCGTACTCTGACCAAGTACCCTCCGTTGAAGGATGCTCCTAGTGCTTCCTGAGGACTCCAAGCACTGCAGCAGACACCACAACCACCGCAGACTCCGCAACCGCTGTAGCTTGACTCGAGTCTCGCCGTCTTCCTTCTACCCTGGATCAACTTCTGTCCTCCAGGACCATGTGGAAAAGACCTCTTCCTTCCACCCTGTATGAACATCCAGCATCCAGGACTGTGTGGGAAAGACCCCTCCTCCAAGGAGAGCATGTTAGGGACAAGCTCTTAAAAGAGCTAAGTGATTCAAGCTCAGGGGAGCATGCAGAGCATAGCAATCCTCAGTGTGATTATAACAGCTCCCTCCAATAATGAGACAAGGCTACGTTTAGAGGGATCAAGAAGAACTGTTTACTTGGCACCAAAGGGCCTTCTTTTATGCAGGTTTAACACATACAGGACCGCCCACAGGGGTTTACAGAACACCAATAAACACGTAGTATACAGTACAAGCACTCCCATACATCTCCTCCCCTCTGCTTGGGAGATAATTGAGTTTCTTACAGTATCTACTCAATTATCTCCAAGCTGAAAAATCATACTTTTTATAAATTTTTATAACTCCCTGATTTTACATCACATACGAATATAACTTATATTTCTGTGTTCAGCATAAGTTGGGGAGCAACATATGTAAAAATCACATGAATCCATCCAGGGGTTAACAAGTTAGGTTGAGGTCCCTTTATTATCAATTGCAAGCATGGCTTTTCCTTCCCAAACCAGTTCCCACTGGTCTGGCAGTGTCCCTGGGACAACTCCCTGCTGGAGAACAATGGAGCTGGGGGAGGGGAAGAGCCTCACCTTCCCAGGGATTCAAAAGGGAAGAAAAAGTGTCCAAAAAGTTTCCATGTGTCCATACACTGTTTTTAAAAGGGCCAGCACTGTACAATAAAAGTCCATAAGCCTAAATCAGTTCTTAAAGGGCAATACATCCCAGGGCCATAGTCGCAGGGCAGGAGGCTAGCAATCAGTCCTCTCCAATGCCCAGTGGCAAATGGCAGTTTGTCACATACCTCCCCTTTGGGGGGAAGACTAACCAGGCACCTGACCTTCTGTCGGTCAGTGCCTACGTTAGTCGATCCACCAACCCACAATAAACAAGTGCCAGAGCAGCCCACCCACAACAAACAGTTACTACACCTGGGTATCCCTCTGGGTTTATGGTGCAACATGCTGTGGGGACGTGAAGGGCAGAGGCCAGCGGCGCTCTGCCCTGATGTCAGCGCGTCTGCTGGGATGAGGGGGTTGCAGGCCAGTCCTGTAACAAGGGGGTCGGTAGGGCAGAGGCCAGCGGCGCTCTGCCCTGATGCCAGCTCTTCTGCTGGTATAGCCTGCAGGACATCAGGCTCTGGACAAGGGACAAAGGTACGGCAGAGGCTGACTGCACTCAGCCCAGCTGCCAGCTCTTCTGCTGGGGTGCTGGGAACATAGTCCGGCTCAGTAGCCAGGGGAACATGGGAGTCAGTGGGGGTTAACATCTCCTCTGTTAACCCTGGGGCCAAGTTAGGAGTTAGCTGGGGAGGGGAATTCGTACTTACCCCCTCCTTCCTGTTGTCCCTGTGAGGGTAGTTGGGGATCTGGACAGGCTGTCCAGCATCCCTGTAGGTCAGGCACAGAGACCACGGTCCCATCTGCGCCATCTGGGAGATTGGTGTCTCCCCTTGGTAGGGTAAGCTGCCGCTGGGGAGATAGGGTGCTATGATCCTCTCCTTGAAACACAGGCTGCCGCCTATACATTTTTATAACTCCCTGATTTTACATCACATACGAATAGAACTTATATTTCTGTGATCAACATAACTTGGGGAGTAGTCAAGGATGTCTTTTCGGAGTGCTTCTGTGAAGGTAGTGTTGTGGAGGTGTTTTGGGTTAAGTTTCCAAGTCCATGTTTTTGTTGTGTGTGGGATGGTGAGTTGGTGTACTATGTCGGCATGGTCCGACCAAGTTATCGAGCCAATCGATGCTTGTGTGATGTGGGGGAGTAGGGAGGGGGATGTGAGGAACATGTCAATGCAGGAGTAGGATGAGTGAGGGTGTGAGTAAAACGTGCAGTCTGCGGTGGTGGGGTGTAGGATTCTCCATGTGTCTAGTAGTTGTGTGCGTGCTACAAACGTTTGCAGCAGCTTGTCGGTCCAGGTAGCGGGTGTGAGCTGTGTATGCGGATTTGTCGACCTACGCCTATCTATGTCGGGTGACATGATGGCGTTGTAGTTCCCTCCAATTATCGAGTGGTGGAGGTGGGCCTGTAGGGAGGTCCAGAACTTGGAGTCTAGGAGGATGGGAGCATAGATCGAGGTAATTGCATATTCGTGGGGACTGACGTGTCGCCGCTGTTATATATCGGCCCTGGGGGTCGGTGATGGTGCGCGTGAATACCAGGGGGCAGGTGTTGCGGATCAGGATGGCTACTCTGTTTATCTTGCCTGTTGGGGAGTTTGCCAGGTGGCATTCCAGGTAATGTCTACTCCGGAGGGGGAATGCTCTATACTGTTCATAGTGAGTTTCCTGTAGTAGGATGACGTCGGCTGCGGAGCGGTTGGCCCACCGAAGCAGACGGTGTCTTTTAGCTGGGTTGTTTAGGCCTTTGCAGTTGATGGAAAGGCATGTGAGGCTTGCGGGTTTAGGCCCAGTTGTGCCTCTGGATCTCGAAAGGGATACTTGCCGGGGGTGGCGGGGCATGTTTAGGAGGTTCCGAGGGGGAGGGCACGAGGGAGAGGGGAAAAAGAGAAGAAAGAGAGAGAGAAGTAAAGAGAGAAAAAAAATGGGGGGGATGCAATAGGAGGGTAAATCCGTGTGTGGGGGGTGAGGGTTTTGGCAGTAAGAGTAGAGGAGGTGTGTGAGCATCTGTATCCGAAGAGAGGGGTAACTGTGGTTCGGGTGCATAACCTGGTCTTATGTCTGTGTTGCCAGGTCGTCCTGGGGGTGGCTGGTGGTCGTTTGTGTCTTTATCTGTCCTGCTCGGATGTCAGTCCGGTGGGTGCGGGGGTTGAGGAGGTGGTCGTCCGTGTGTGGCAACGTCTCTCTCTTCCCTGGGGTTTTGCCAGTCATTGTGTAAACGAGTTGTGTGTTTGTTGGTAGAGAACAGTCAGCAGGGGCCAGTGGGGGTTGTGCGCTGTCCCTTTGTGGGTCTTTGTAAGCGGTGTTGTTCATAATGTGCCGGGTGTGGTGATGGCGATCCTGGAATTGGCAATAAATTTAAGAACTTTGATAACCATAAACTTGTGAACATTTCCAAACTGAGACCAACGATAAGTCTAAACTTTGTGAGACCTAGTAAAGTGGTATATGCTTTGTCTCATGTTGAGGTATAGATATGAACGTTGGAGGGTGGGTTGGTTGAAGGAAGGCTACGGGGTTAGGGGGGGTGTGTTAGGGCGCTAATTATGTGTACGGGGCGTTCTATATGGGGTACCCAAGTAGGTGCTATTCTGAGGTTAGCTTAAGCGTTTTGGGGTCCCCTCGTGTAATTGGTGGAATGGGGGGTTAAGTGGAGGAGGGGGCTGTGGTGCCGACGGGTTGTTTGAGCCCCGGTTGCAGTAGAGGTGATGGCTCTCCCTTGGGAGGCGTGTGTGTGGTTGCTCTTGCTAAGGTGTGTTGCTGTGGTGGGGGGGGGGCTCATTGGTTATCGTACCTGCGTCTCCGTGTCTAGGGTTCGAATGGAGTATGTTCTTATTGGTTGGTGTCCATGGTGGTCTGGCTGGAATGATCGTCTGAAAGAGGCCAGTAAGTGTGGCAGGAAGGTCGTCGGGCATGACAGCTTCGGGTAGGCCCCGGATCCTAATATTATTCCGCTGGGACCTATTGTTCAAGTCCTCCAGGCTTTCCTCCATCGCTTTGATTTTCGCGTGGAGGTAGATCATATAATGTAACTAACCCCCCATTATTTTTTGCCTTGGTGAGGTGTTTTTAAATAAAACTATTACAATCTGTTAGACTTGAAATCATTGCTTAGTGAATAAGTGAGTGCGCTGGATTATGTATTTTATATGTTGGATATATTGGCCCCAGCAACACGCTATAATGTATGAATGTTCAGGTGAGTGCAGCCGTTTTGGTTTCATAATCAAAGGATGAAACAATGGCCACTAATATCCTGAGAATACTGTAGCCAATTGCTTTCCCACAAACCATAGGCGTGCACACGGGGTGTGCCGGATGTGCCTGGGCACACCCTAATCCCCGCGGCCCGCACTATGTGCCTCCATGGGCTCACAGGCAGAGAGGGAGGCAGAAGAGGACCCGGGGAGCTCTAGTCAGCAGCCGCGGCAACGCTCAGGTCTCGCGAGAGTGAACTCTAGCCCTGCAGGCTAGAGTTCACTCACCACTGGACCACCAGGGATGGCAGCAGCACGGTCCTCCCTCCCTACAAAAGGTAAGAAGGGAGGGGGGCTATTTCCTAAACGGTCCGCCCTCCCCCACACAATACACACTAACAGCACCCTGACACATACAGCACCCACACACATTCAGCACTCATACACACACAGCACACACACACACTAACAGCACCCTTACAGAGCACACACTAACAGCACCATCACACTAACAGCACCCACACACATACATCATTACACACACAGCACCCTTACACACACATCACACACACACTAACACCACCCTTACAAAGCACACGCTAACAGCACCCACCCACACACTAACATCACCCACATCACCCACACACATACAGCTCCCTTACACACAGCACCCTTACACACACATCACCCTTACACACACATCACACACACACTAACAGCACCCTCACACTAACAGCACCCTTACACACACAGCACCCTTACACATACACACAAACAGCACACACTAACAGCACACTCACACACACAGCACCCCTACACACACAGCACCCTTACACACACACTAACAGCACCCTCACACACACAGTGCCCTCACACACACACACACTAACAGCACCCACACACACCGCACCCTCACACACACAGCACCCTTACACACACACAATGTCCTCACACACACACAGCACCCAATGAGTGTGTGTGAATATATATATATATATATATCTATATATATAGATGTATATATATAGATATATATATATACGCGGTGTGTGTTTGTGCTTTAAGGTGCACACCCTTATGCAATAGGCTGCGCACGCCTATGCCACAAACACTGTATTATCTTAAATTAAGCCTTTTAAAAATGAGGCCTACTAAAGACTGTGCCTATTAAAAACATATCTGTAACAGGGAATTAATAGTACAGTCAAAACATTTCTACTTCATTTTTTTGTTCTTCTTATTTAAGTCATTTTAAAATAAATTACTGCAGGTAGGGTTCTGACATTAACTAAATAAAAAAGGTGGAGTTGCAATCTTAGATTTTGAGATTTGTTAGCTTGTCTTTTAAATTGCAGAAAAAATGATTATGTACAAATGTATTTGTTCAAAAAGCTGTACTATAATAAAAAACAGATGATCAACTGCATATATTTTATTTTACAAAAGCCAAAAGGACAGATTAATCAGAACAGATATTCAGTGATACATTCCTTACTCAAAGCTATTAATGTTGCAGTACACATATTCTCGATGTGAAAAATTGACCAAGGCTGCCCTCTATGTCTCTATCACAGTAATGAGTGTGCACAATTATTCTCTCAGTAAAAAGAAAATTGGTTTAGACAATAATAACCTTTTCACATGAAACTTCACATAAAACTCTTATAGTCAGAGACTTTGGAAAATTACAATGCATTAGTCAGAGATATACTGAGTCACATTTTAACTGCACTGTAAAGTCAATAGTAAATCGGAGATGAACTACACATTTTTGGATTCATTTTAAAAATGTTGACATGAAAGTAGTGAGTTGCTACTGATGTCATGATGCTAATTATTTGCACCCATTTCTGTAATTATGGGGGGGTACTGCATTGTAGTATTAAGGAGACTTGAGTTTTAGAGAGCATTTAAGGCTTGGTTGGACTTGTTTTATAGAACCTGGTCTGCCTGAGAATCATGGGAGTTACAGTTGCAAATTCCTCCAACCCTAAACACCCATAGTCATAAGCACCTCTGACCCTAAGTCCCTAATGCTAAAGAAAACAGAACCCTAAACTCCCCTAACTGCCAGCAGTATAATGTTAAACTAGAATTTTGTAAGTTGCCCTCTTTTTAAACAAAAATAAAAAAGATGCACAGTTTTTAATACACATAATGTTTGTAGTAACACTTTTAAGGAACACTCAAACCATCATAACCACTGCAAACTGTAGTTGTTATAGTGCCAAGAGTGCCTTGGTGCCCCACCTAATGTATGTAGTCAAACTGTTTAGCGACTTTTTACTTCTTACCCGGGTATCGATGGGAACCACTGATTTCCTCCTTTCAAATTTAAGGCCAGACTAGCCTGAAAGCTGTTTTGCAGTTTGCATATTTTGACCTCAAAGGGACACTATAGGCACCAGAACAACTACAGCTTAATGTAGTTGTTCTGGTGAGAATTAGTGATGTCGCGAACCGTTCGCGAACTTGCCACGAACGGTTCGCCGCGGTTCGCCATGAACCGTTCGCAGCGAACTCTGGTCAGCTGACACATCCCTGCCAATCTCTGGCAGACCCTCCCTCCCAGACCCTCCCACCTCCTGGACAGCATCCATGTTGAAGCTGCCTTCAACATGGATGCTGTCCAGCAAGTAGGAGAGTCTGGGAGGGAGAGTCTGGGAGGGAGAGTCTGCCGGAGATTGTCAGGGATGTGTCAGCTGACCGGAGGTCGCCACGAAGCCGCGTCGAACCATTCGCGGCAAGTTCGCGACATCACTAGTGAGAATAATCATTGCTGCCAGGCATTTTCATGCAAACACTGCCTTTTCAGGGGCACCCCCAAGTGACCACTCCTCTGATGGCCACTGGAGGTGCTTCCTGGCTCAGTGCTGCACAGTAGGCAGCTCTGCCGTTCAGCGTTCCCTCGTTCTACATGGAGATGCAGAATTTTCCTCAGAGAAATGCATGTCTATGAGGAGGTGCTAATAGGCCAAAATGGCATTTTGTCCCGCCCCCTTGCCGATGTTTGCCCTATGGGAAAGCATTGGATTGGCTAAAAATCATCAATTCCGATGATGTCATCAAGGGGGCAGGGGAAGTGCTGGCAGACCCACACGATGTTGGAAACAAGGTGAGTTTTTCATGCTTTTAAGGTTGGTAAGGGGGGGGGGATGCAAGCCACCTTAATGGTGGGTTTTACACTACAGGGTCAGGAATACATGTTTGTGTTCCTGACCCTATAGTGTTCCTTTAAATTTGGAATTCTCACTTTCGTAAATACCCGGTTGATTTTTTCTTATCCCAGTCAAACTGCTGGTGTTAAATTATGTAGCTGTATTGTCAATAAAAATTAGGGGATTTATTAAATAAATAGAGAATGATGGTGAGTTGAAAACTAATTTGCAAAATTCAGGCTAAAATTGCCAAGCTTTCGCTATTGTTGACTTATTTAAAAATCAGCTATTTGGATTTTACTTGAAATTTCTCAATTCAGGTTTCAATTGACAGTTTGATGCTTAATGAATAAATGATTAATTTGAGAAATCTCACAGTAAATTCACCAAGCACTCCATATCTAACAACTGAAATGTTTCCCTAAAATAATCAAACTTTTAGCAGCTATTGGTCAGATTTTTTTATTGTTATTTAAAACTGGATACAATTGGTGCAGTCATTTCCTGCCGGAGCTTCAACAAACTCCCTCTTCAATGCACTAGAAAATTTTTGTTTTTCTCAATTAATAGTCTGTAAGGGTTATTCTAAGCATCCCAACAATTTTATCTTACTAGAGAGGTTATGGAGCAAAAAAACAGTCCCTGCATTCTAGAGATGGCAAGTTTTTTTTCTTTGTGTGTGTACGACTGCCTCTCTGAGCTGTCAATTATCCTTCTGAAATACTCTCTTCCTGGCTGGTAATATCAGTTTTCCAACTATTCTGTCCAGTATCAGCACACACAGCACATGCAGCATAATAACCACAAATGCCTTGGACAGGATTCTTGTCTACGCAAGTACTACGCAGTGTCAAATCTACTGCTTAATGACTCTCAGAAAATTCAATGGTATAACTCCCAAACAAAGAAAAAAAAAATGTTCTGTTTTTTTACCTGTGCCTTTTCTATTTGCAAAGAAAAAGATCGCCATATGAAATTTATGTTTTATCAAACTGGGTGCAAAAGTTTGCCTCCTCTGCTGTACTACAACTCCTGTCATACTGCGTAAGAGTCTGGCTGAAGATGGTGGAAGTTACATTTTTAGAAGACATGCTCCCAACTGTTTAGTAGTCATGCTCCCAGCAGGTGAGAGGTTTTATACCTACCTTATATTAATACGTAGTTAAAATGAGTTCATAAGCTTTATTTTTTTTATGTATTTTTACATTTTGATGTAGCAAGCAAAGTTCTAGCCAAAATAATATATTTTGTATATATTTTGCAGTTTGCTGAGAGAAGCATATTCCTGCCATTTGATTCGCACATCAGTTGAGAAAAAGTAACTTATTGAGGAGAAAAGAGGAGAAGCAGTAAAACATGTATTATAAATATCATATATAAATATAAATATTTTTCTGTGCTACTCCTCTTTCCCTCTGTTGCTCACTTCACACTTGTAAATAAAATCAATATTTAGTGATGTCTCCTAGTCATCAATCGTCTTTTTTTTAACCATCAATATTTTTGGGACACCCACATTTCAAATGAATGTTGATTTGACAGGGAAGGATTTTGAGACTGAAAAACGTATTCTCAAACCAAATCAGATGAACCAAAGGGGCGTCAATGGGCCAATCAGTTAATGCAAAATATATACATAGGAGAATATTATGTATGTTTTTTGCAGTACACTGATAGTACTATTTTCCTGCCACTCGATTCATAATTCAAGTGAAAAAAAGTAACCAATAGAGGGAAAAACAATCTATGTTCATATAGTATATATAAAAATATATATACATATTATAAAATATAAATATAGATTTTTGTTTCCTGCACCTACTTTTTTCTTTTTATCTCTCACTTTTTGTGAGTAGAATCAATATTTAGTGGCTGTCCCCTAGCCATTAATCATCTATATTTTTATATCAATCAGCTCTTTTATGGTGGCACAATCCAGAATTAGCGCCTAAAACAAACATGCTTTGCCATTGTGTATTTTGGTTAGTTCATGATTCGGATACATTTCAGCTCCTAGTTTGGAAGTTCACGGAATCAACATATCAGCCAAAATTTGGAAAAATCAAAATTCGGTCCAATGCAAATAATCCAACCTCGCTCAGAATTTGAATTGCAGTTTAAACAAAAGCAAACCTCCAAATCTAATAACATTCAGCAAATTATTTTTGTTTTGGTGCAGGCAGTGCAATGTTTGATGTATTGTTTAACTGTATATGGATAATGAAAACTTTGCCTGGCATTTTGTGGTTACATGCTGTACATCCCAGACATCTGGATCAATATGTATAAATGTTCATGGTCCTTTGCATTCACCAAAGGAATGGTCAGCACTCCTGGGTCTTCAAAACTAAAAGGTAACTTTATGTGTCAACATTTCAGTTTAGAATTAAAACGGTTATTAAATTTAAGAATGCTTACAAAAAGAGAAGTGTTAATAGTTCATTATTATTAATTAGGAAAATGCAAAATGAGTGAAATGAAGAAAAATCGGAATCAAATAAATATTTTATGTGACCACCCTTTGCCTTCTAAAAAGCATCAATTCTTCTTGGTATACGTGCACACAATTTTGTAATAAATTCCGTACGTAGGTTTTAGGCAGCCTGTCATTTCTGTCTCTTTATGTAGTCCAAGACAGACAATATGTTTAAACCAGGAGACTGTGGAAGCCATGCCATCACTACTTTTTAAACACATATTTCTTCTCAATGCTGATGATGGTTCTTGTCATCACGTTGGTGGAATGTTTGGGGTTTTTATCATGCTGCAGAAAAACATTTAAATCAATCAAATTCATCTATGATGGCATTGCATGATGAATTCATATCTTCCTGTACTTCTCAGCATTAATGAGACCATCAATTGTGACCAAATCCCCAACACAATTTCCAGAAATACAACCCAAAACTTTCAAGGAACCTCTAACATGCTTCACTGTTATATGCATGGTGAAATAGATTGCCTAAAATATATCTATCGAAAAGAGGTCTATCAAGTGGCAGTTTTTGATAAAAATGTTTTACTAGTATAAATACATGTATACATAAATGTGGAATAGAAAGTAGAATCTATATATATATGTGTGTGATAAAAGTGCTGTGCTAATGTGCATTTATATATTGGATGTATAATTCTGTTGTTTTTTTCCCCCCAAAATATTAAAGTAAAAATAAAAAAAAAATGCACAAAACATCTGATTCCCACCCCAAATAAAATCTCACAGCACTATTATAAAACTCCTAGGCATTTGTAATTTTTTTACCATGATAAATTACATTTTATATACTGCACTGTTTGTAATAACTATTGTAGCATGATTATGTTTGCAGACTTTTTGTAAAATCTTACTTACATTTTTCATTAAGATCGTTGATTTTGATTTAAACCATCTAACAGCAATTAGTGACAACAAATATCCTGATGTTACATTTTCACCAAAACATTAAAATTATACATCAATTTGTGATCTTGAGTGACCCTTTTAGAAGGCTGGTTACCAGAAACAAATTGTGCTAGTGTTATGGATACAGATGCTAAAGTGCACATTAGAAAACTAGTCAATTTGACTCAATATACACTAGCAAAAGCAATATTCATGACTAAACTTGTTTTAGATATTTTGAGATCAGCAGTCATAATTAAGAAACACCATGTACATATTTTCTATTTTATTTGTTCGGAGTGTGCTCTTCCTGATCAATTTGTTCCCCAGCAGAGGGCAAAAGCAATACTTTTCACAGAAAAGTATTGGCTTCAATGTTTCTCTATGAGAAGTATTGTAGACCCAGAGTGATGACTTGCACTCATGTACCCTGCCTCCCAGTACCTCCCTATGAGGAGTATTCTTTTAGCCATGAGATAATTAGTGCTTATCATCTCATAGCTGGCAGAATGGAGCTACAGTAACTAGACCTCACAATGTTGGACTACATGTCAGTAACCCTTTATTTAGTGGTGTATAAATGCATCAACAATCTAAATAGACATCAAAACACTTCTGTGTTATAAATACAGATTTTCATTTGTAACATTGTAGTGTTCATTTAATAAAGTACAATAATAATTTTGCACGAGGCTTTACGTCTTATACTGTAACATGTAATATTATGACTTAAAATATGTATTTAGTGACATTGTAACATACAGCATTCATACCAATCGTTAGCTTAAGTATTTTTGTCTTGGTTATAAACACAAATTGAAAGAGTGAAGAAAAATAAAATATTTAGTTTAATAGTTTTAATATAACATAGAATTAAAAAAATCATAAAAGCTATGAAAAAATGAACAATTATAGAGTAACAATATGCAGGACCATTCTTATCCTAATAAGGCTCTCATACCTTTGGTTCAGTCTGTCAACTCATGATCTCGTCATTCAACATGTCTTGTTTATGGGGATCACTGGTTTTTGGTATTGTTGTGCAATCCCTACTCATAGTATTTACGCGAGGAACTTAGCTTGTAGTTCAAAACTGTCAAGTCAATATTTTTCATTGTTGCTGTCAGATCTTCTCAAGAACATATCAAAACTCATGTATCTCC